ATTCACTCTGCTCTCTGTCAGATCAACTGATTTGATGGCAAGCAATGTGGAAACGTGTTAATGCTCGTCAAACAACTGTGAAAGGACCGGCTGCTCATGATAATGAAGTTTTGGAAGATATGCTTTCGATGTGATAGACATCACATCATCAGAGTGCTTATTGATGGCCATAACTGTAACAACTCTTTTAGTCCTGCTTTAGACAATGAGCAGGTCTACTTGCCCTTGTCGTGGCACTTGCGTCATAAGCATTATCCACAATTTTCTGTCCAAGAGCAATCTTTTCGCAGAAAACTTGGCCTACCAGAAAACGCGGCACACAGAGCACTAGCCCTTTGTTCAGCTCAGAATTCATTACTTTGGTGAAGCAACTGTCATTAAATTAGCACGAAATCGAGAAGGGCAAAGACAGCTCTAGTATTAAAAGCCTACATGCAAATACCTTGCTCATAGGCTCTCTAGCTTTGCCATTTACATTCCAATGAGAAGCAGCAGCAATACCAGCAACAAATTCATTGTACTTGTCCCCTATCCTATCAGACAATAAACACACACGTAAGTAAGCTTCTCTGAGAATTCTTTTTGGTGTTTTATGATCTACCGATAGATTCAAGGGCGCAGAGAATTGAACGGGATCGATTAGTTAAGTGAGAGATGTGACGATTGATGCCTCGACCGAAACATTATGCAGAAAAGCCGTATCAAACCAGGGCAAATACATCGACTGTTATCAGTAAGCAAGTTCATCTTGGAGTTCACAAGTGTTCTAAGAGATGGAATTGCTTCTCTAGTCGATGAAGGAACATAAGCAGCATCGCACAAATCTATTGTCAGGATTTCCAACAACCACGTTGCATGTCTCAAGATATTAACACAGATAAGCGAAGCGGTCGGACGAGCCAGACTTTGGTTGATAATGCCGCAGAGATGAAAACAGAACATCGTGATATCTCGATGAAAGTAAGTGCAGGCCGTACATTTAGCTCTAGATGATGCTTCAAGAATTGCAAACCCTTCACCCTTCATGACCAAGACTCCAGATTCAGAGGTCTCTACGACAGAAACCGAAGTTGTTGAAAGTGTTCATATAAAATCGATTCTCGGAAAAGTTATTCGACCATTTTTTGGTATCATTAAGAGAATAGTGCTTGCTTTGGGAGATAAAAACCTACCCTTGTGTTTTCTGGGCTCATAAAGGCCCAGAAAGCAGCATGGCTTAGTTCAACCCTTGTACTTATGGTAAGAATTAATCCCAGCACATAAACATGAACGTTCAACTGGGCGGTAGACGCGCTTCAAATCCATAGCAGGAAATTATGAATTGCCGGAATGTCATCGAAATTAGAGCTTAGAGAGTCAAATCTGCGCTGTTTGGTCATTTTTTACCAAAACCATGACTACAATTGTATTCGAGACTAATGCCTAATACTTCAAGTCAACTCTCTTCATAACTAAATAATCTGTCACAAGCACCTGCGCTGGGGAACTGGAGTATATAGCCCTTACCATTTGTGATCCTCTCTGGGGCTGGATCGTGCCGGCATTCTCTGCCTTCGTTTAGACTGAGTCACTTTCGAACTTTCACATGAAACAACCACTGCCATAAACACTGCATCGACCATTAATTTCACAAAACACCGTCAAACTAGCATTGCATACATTCAATGGAAAGTTTTTAGTCAGAGGGAAGCCAAAAATCTCATTGAACGAAGTCTTACCTAAGTATTGCAGCAACAGTCCTGCTTTTTGATGAATTGACAGCATGAAAAGGGCAACGCAGAGCAAAATATATATTGAGCCGTGAGTTCGAAGCAGAAAATTTGAATCATAGATTACGCTTTGTAATCTTCTCTAGTTCCTCGAAAGACTGTGCTTCCAGATCATGTCGTCCTTTGATTGCTGCCATAGCTTATGGTAAGTTGGCATCCGTCATTCAAAACACCCGCCGTCATTAGGTCAACATATTCCAGTGATAGCAATCAGCTAACATATGACATAAACCTTCCTCAAGCGATTTGAGATATCCTGAAGGTCTCGTGGGTCCTGACCTTGTCGCAAAGAGAGACAAGTAGATAACTGAGTCAAGAATGTTCACGGCCAATCCTCTCTAGCCTGAGTAAGTCAATACTTTCCACACTCTAGGGACAGAACCAGTCGAGAGATGATAACGGCTCAATCTGACATGGATTCAAGAAATACAGGCCATTCAAAGCATCGGTTCGAATTCTCACAGCAAGTGAGGCCCAGATTTCGAGGTGTAATAACCAAGTGAGCTGTGTCGTAATTCCATGGACCAAGGCACCAGAAGCTGATCAAGAGAACTAGGCAAGACATCCAATCTAGGTTCCGTCGTAGTTGTGTCCTGCAAGTTTAGTCAGGAAATTTCTGAATACAATTCAGCATAATGCAGAACGCCGTACTCCACCTAGCGCCAGCAAATGAAACTGGGACCTATCTTGATATAAGCAGGTGGGAACCTTTAAACAACTTTTCAGAGCACTTGGTTATCCATATAGTTTCGCTGCACTGAACAGCTGTCCACAGCTGTTTGTCCAACAAACCTTTAGGAAAGAAATCGTTAAAAATCCACCCCAAACGCTCGTTTGATGCGCCGGCAGTCTCCCAAAGTGATTGTCCGGATGGCATAATTTAAGTTTGAGCAAGAGCAAGGATGGAATCTCCACTTGGTCGGGTCCTGAGAAGTAACCGGTGGCAGTTTGCTGCAAGCGTTTCTCCAGCCTCGCTAGGTTGACACAACCGCCTAGTCATTGACGCCTACATTCTTGAGACACGAATGCTGGGTCTGAAGGCTAGGAGACATTACAAGGCAAAAAAATGGATCCTTGTATCAGAAATATTATTGGAGATCATTCCGTGCCCCAAGTCTCAGTTCTCAGTTGTGCCAGATCCTATGCACGACCTAAAACCTCAATCCAGGCTCTTTGTCATCATTTTCAAAGCGTCTCGACAGAACGTCTCAGTTATACCTCTTTTTTCTTCTCAGATTCCATATTAACTCTTTGTAATAGCGACTTTATCCAAATACGAAGTGATGCTCAGCTCAAAAGACCGGCAGTCTCGAAACTATGGCTTCCTGGCTAGTTGGCTGAGCTAGATTACGGTGCCCGTGTCTGTGACAGTTGCGGCTGGGTATTAGCCAACTTATTCATTTGAGAAGGCTTTTCTCAGACCAGCTTCTGACGAGAACGGGTCAACTTGTGTATACCTGACTCCGTCTGCATATATCTGGATTGGGGTCAAACGTCCAAGGAACATTTAGAAAAGCATGATGAGAAGCAAATGGACTCGAGTCGGCAACCGAATTCTTCCTATGCTACCCAGGCTCTTAATTTGTTTTTGGAGTATTCTTCTTGCTTTGTCGATTTCTCAAAATCTTCGAATTCCTTAACACAGTTTCATATTCCTTTTGGACTAATTTTGAAAACGAGAGCAAGATATATCGAATATGACTGGGGCTTTACTCTCATAGCAGCGTCGTATGCTCGTAGACCAGGGTTAATCGGTTGAATTATTTCTCAGCAAGGCCTATGATCCCAGTGTCTCGACGACGCGTAGTCAAAAAGCAAATGCGGAAGGTACTTTGCGTAATGAGCTAACTGCTCAGTTCACAAGCTCGACTCGTTGTGTTGATTCGTGTAACAGAGCATGCTCGGCTGATTTTTATTTCGCAGCAATTCCTTACAAAGCATCAGAAACGTGCGGAATGCAAATGCTGTGCATACCCGGTAGCGGGACGACTTCATTTCCAGCGCCGATATTGCTAACATTCGCCTTTCCGCTGAGGCTGACGGCGCTCATGATTCGAGCGTTTTTAACGTGATTCTTTCCCGATTGCATAATAAAGGCTAGTCCGGACTTCTGAAGCTTGACGGAGCAAAACGTGGCTGCAAGATTGGTGCCTCGCGGCTGGTCATGCGCAACACTTAGGAGATAATAGGCCTTTGTTTATATGTCCGGCGACTTGACGAGGAGATAGATATGTCGAGTCGAAATCGATGGAGATCCATTCAGATATCAAGCTACCAACGGGCGAATGCCGAGAGATAGGTTTGGTGACGAGAGTGTGGAAGAGCTTACTCGGTTGCGAGGCTTGCCTGACGTTAGTAAAAGGCATCTTCCTAACCACCAATCCTCAGTTTATCAACTTATGAAAAAGTTTCAGAGACGTAACCATTTTCCCTATTTTTGCTTGGTGGTGTTTGCACATGGGTTGGTTGCTCAACCGTTTATTGGTATGTCCAGTTCTGACTAAAAGCCCACAAACATGTTTGATTATCGAAGGCTCCCTCAAGACCAAGGTTATTTAGTATCTGCCAAATCTCTTATAATCTACCACTGAATTAGCGTCCTTCAGCTTGCATCAGAGCACAGGGCATGTAGGCAGGTTGAGGCGATGAAGAAGGGAAGAGAAAGACATCTTGTGAAGGAGGAGCTCGGACACAGGGCCTGAAAGCGGCTTAGAGTGAAAGCAAGGTATCAAATAAACCCGGTAAAGGATATCAAAGCATAATCTAGCACTTTTCTTTTGAAGGTCTTGATGTGTCGAACGGGAAAACCACAATGAACAATTTTTGGCTCTGCCTATGTCCTGTCGAATGAGGAGTCTGAAAGAGAGTACGAAGTCCGGGCAGTTTGTTCGACGCCGTGACTTTACTGAAAGCACTCACTGATTCGACCTCTGCGAGCCGACATGATGGCCTTCAAGTTCGTTTCGCCTGCTTTGAAACTCGTCTGGTCCAACGCTCATAGCTGTTAATCTCACCCGTAAACAGGATAGCGCCTAGCATGGCACTCAAATCCTGATTCATCGTCTACGCCATCAGTGTTGGGCTCGTAGTATGCTTGCGCTGTTTGATTCAAAGTCCGATTCGACGGTCTGCCGCACTATACTTACTTTCCAACGCAGCGCCAGAATGTGGGACAGCGTTCTTCACCGGCGATACGGAAGCCATAACAAGCTGCTCTCTTTGCTTGTAAACTCTTAAGATTACAGGCAGCGAAATTTACATTGAACAAACTATTAAATGCTGTCGGTAGACTAACTTGAAAAGATTCCATTAATCCATTCTCTTGTCACCCACAACACCGGCCTTCTCAGCTTCTTCGATCGCAGCCGGGTCCGTGATATCGACACCCGCCTGCTCCAATTCAATCTGCCTCCTTGGGCCAGTAAACCACTTGTGCGCCCACAGGAACCACGAACCAAGTGTCCAAACAAGAACGATTCCGACGGCTACGGGCGTATAGTTAAGCGTCTGGCTGTCCACGGGATTGAGCTCTGGAAGACAGAACACAATCGTGATGAAGCCGACCCAAAGTACGGCGATTGCGCCAATGATCCTGGACGCGCCTCGCAGATTGAAGACGCCCTTCTTGAAGTTTCCTGGCCAAATGATGGCGATGGCGATGGGTGTCGCATAGCTGATGTACAGACCGATCGTGGCAATGGACGTAGCGGCCGCAAATGCGACGGAGCTGCCCAAGCTTGGCAAGCTGAGAATGAAAGCTAGGGTGGCAGCAAGCCAGATCGTCCTGATGGGGCTCTTGAAACGTTTGTCGACGTGGTCAAAGAAGGCTGGTAGAGCGCCGTCACGACTGAAAGCAAACATCATGCGGCTGTTTGACGTCAAGGAGAAGAGACCGCAATGCCACACGCAGAGGATAACCAGCGTCATGGCGACCATAGCTCCCTTCTCACCAAAGACGTCGACGAAGATCTGGACAACCGGTTGAGCATACTGCGAGTTGAGGGTTGCCTCGAAGTTCTGAATGCTGAACAGCAAGCAGAGGAGCAGGAAGAAGCCGAAGAAGGCCGACACGAGGACGCTGGTAATGACACCGATCGGCGCGCTTCGGCTGGCATTGTGCGTCTCCTCAGACAGATGTGCAGATGCGTCGAAGCCAGTAATCGTGTACTGAGACAGCAAGATACCGATGATGCACACGTAGGCAGGCGATGCGCGCACACTCCAACCTGGATCGCCCGTTCCGTCGTAGAAGGTCGCGAAGACGAACTTTGCAGATTGGTGTGTCGGTGCCTTGGAGACGACGGCAATGGCCAGCGACGCAACGCCAAGGCTGTGCAACACGATCGAAGTGTTGTTCAAGTATCGGAGGATGTGCACGCCGAAACTGTTGACTAAACCGTGGGAGACCAGGATCGCGGCGTAGATACCGATCACTTTGCCTGGCGTAGGCGTGTAGTCCGGATTCATGACCGTCGCAGTCGTGCTGATCAGACCCGCGCAGCCGAAACTAATACCCGTGGTCACGGCGAATTGCCCCACAAAGTTGAACCAGCCAGTGAACCACGAGAAGAAGGGCGCTAGCTTGTGTGGAGCCAGCATAGCAGCCCAGAAGTACGGCCCGCCGGCGGTCGGGATGGCAGAGACGATCTCGGCCATTGCTATCGCGACAAACATGGTGAAGAAGGAGACGATGATCCACCCGACAGTCATGACGCCGGGCCCGCCAGTGTTCAAGCCATAGCTATAGCAACGTTAGTTACCGTGGTCGCCCAAGCATGAGCTCGCGTGCTCGACTTTGCAGGGGAGGGCCGACGGTTCCCCCTCCTCATCATGACGTTGGATGCGAACACGACAAGGCGGCCCACGTACCTGAAGAGCGTCGTGATACCTGTGATGACGCTGATGATTGAAAAGGAGACGCCAAAGTTGTGCAGCACACTCCAGTCTCTTTTCAGCTCCTGAGCATAGCCAAGCTCAGCAAGCCTCGACTCGTCCCCGGCATCGATTTCGGTCACGCTCTTTTGTCTGCCGGCCATTGCGATCCCAGAATGGCATCAAGGCGCTGGGAAAGGAGGTCCGAAGGAAGGTTGACGTGAGGAAGAAGGTCGCACACAAACGCGACTCAGCATCACGAGCCCGTTTAAGTACGGCCACCGCATTCGCTCAGTAACCTGTGCTTGTCAAGATAAGCTATCTCGAAGCTCGCTTCAGCGCGTGTCCAGACCCTTGGCCGCGGGGGTTCTTCTAGACTGTTTAAGGTTGTTCCATCCGGCCAATCCGTCTGTGGACGAGGATGCCGACGGCGCCCATTGGCTCGGACGCGAGAGCCTCAAGAAAAGAAACGGAGGATGCAACCTCGTCGGCGCTGCCTGGGCGACCTTTGCTGGGCGCCCGCTGCGTATTGCTGCCACGCCGCCGAGACTGGTGGGCTTCTGAAACGCTTAGTGGTATCTCTTGGCATGCACGGCGCTCTATGGGCCGCTCCGTCTTCGTCGAAAGCTTCTGCAGTCGTGGTGTTTGTCGGCCCGGAGGGGGCTCAAAGCATTCTGCAGTCGCACAAAGAGAGCCCGGCCAGAGTAGAACGAACCGTCATGGACGCAAACGTTGTGCAACTCCAAGATTCCTGCGTGTCTGGGGACACTGATCCTGATGGCCTCGACTGGCTTGCGCGTCCTAGTTCTAGCATCCCAATGTCGAGGCCTGCAACAGTCGCCCGCCGCTCGAATTCCAGGCTCTTGAACAGTCACGAATGAAGACCCAAACTCTGCCGAGCAGAAATGCCAACATGGTCATGCGATGTACATTACTCATCTAGGCGTACTAGAAGAGCATGGAATGCCCGAGGCTTCCCCCCAGAGCCTGCGCGTTTGTGCCGCAGCGCGTTTGGTCGGAGTTGCTGCAGCCTCCCTCGACGTCTTCAAAGCCGTGGGTTGCCAGAGTTCGGGTTTGCGCCATCGCTTTCACATTTTGGCAAGCAACAGACTATGTGCGTGGCGTTTGCAGGATGGTTCTGCCATACAGGCTCACGCCGCCATATAAATGCGCTACCGGCCCATCTACAGTGAACTGCTACATCCCAACCCATGCCCAGCCGTACGAGCACTTCGGGTTGCCAGATAAAAAGAATGCGGTGTCTTATACCTTGCTTCTGCTCTCTCGCTTATAGATCGTCTGATATATATGCCGTTACATAGGAAATGGACCTGAGGCAAGGTAACCGAGCGCACTTCTGGTTGAGCTTTGTGACTTCGGCACCTGCTAGTGATGATCGCAGATACAGGTCACCAGGCCGACTTCAACCCACACGGTCACATTCAATGCTCAGTCCAAACTTATGTATCTCTCTACATATAAAGTCTCTATCCATGGCGAAGCAGAAGATCCAAATTCCTCAGTCCTTTCTGAACTGCTTCAGCGCTACTCCTGAAGCCTCCAAGACTGCAAAAGCATCGCGCGCCATCGAAGTCAGCACGCTCGCCAAGCGCACACACGAAATGTCTGCTTCTACCAGGGATGAAAGGCCAGCGAAGCGGCAAAAGACTACAACGACCAACACGCCGCCGCCCGGGCCAGAGCCCGAGGCGAAAAGCAAAGACGAGCCGTGGAAAGAGCCTCCGGTGGTCTTCACCGACAAGGACGGCAACGCCATCTCGGAGGCGGAGTGGTCGCGCATCGCCCGAGACTTCGAGCAGCTCGACGGCGGCATCTTGTTCAGCTGCGGCCCCCGCCTGCCCGACCACAGGGACCTGCATCGGTTCGACCATCTGTCCCGCGTGCGCAGCCAGGACTGGATGTTCGACGAGGCGGCCTTCGACAAGGACTTCAAGGAGGTCTTTGGCTGGGTCCCGCCTCCCCTGCCGAAGAAAAAGAGGCCCAAGGCCGCGACGAGCGCCGCGAGGCCGCCTTCGTCCGTGCCGGCGGACATCGAGCTCGCGTTGAACCCCACTTCGGAAGACAGCCGCGAGGCTCGCGCCGCGAGGAGGGCGCTGCGCCGCGGTTGGTGGTTTGACGCCGACGTCGAGCGAGGTGGAGCCTGATTCAGGCGGAGACAAAGCACGACGGAGACGAGGCGCGATGCGGCATCGGTCCAGTTCAGTCGGCCGAAGTAACTGCTCCTTGACGACGGAGCTGAATAGACAGCGACAGCATCGACACGTCTGCAACATGGGGAGGGGCGGGTTTCTCTAGCAGCGACGGAGGCGCCGCGCAGCCACTGCTTTTGACGTGGAATTCCTGGTTCTGGTGGCCACTCTTATGGAAAAGGGTACTTTACGGGATTTGTCGCACAGGAGCGGCTTCGCTGGTTTTTGTCGAGTAACAGTGGAGACAATGATTTATAACGCCAGGGATCTTTTTTTTTTTCTTTTCTACTACATTTTGAAGCAACTTGGAAGACCTGAAAGCTTCCTTTCGAAGATTGCCAAGAATACATAATGTCAAACATCTCCATCATACTGCTCTCAGCCAATTTCTGATCATTTCCCGTCCGTGCCTCAACCGTCGTCTTCCCGTGATGAACCTTTAGTCCGACGCATGACTGCTCGCTGACAGAATGTCACCGTAAAGACAGGAGGACAGCGAGCGATAGAGACTTTCCGATCGAAATCTGAGCCAACACTTTTAACCCCCTAACCCCCCTCTCAAGCCCGGGAGGAGCCAGTCTCAGTCTCAGAGCTTCGAATCTCGCGTTCTGGCCTCGGACGATTAGGGTCCGTCGACGACGTTCACGAAGAAGTTTTTGAAGGCCTCACAGATGCGCGACGCACTCGATTTCCACGTCCGTGTTCATCGGCAGCTGCTTGACCGCAACGCACGTCCTCGCCTAGTTTTCGGCGTCAGCGCCTCGAAGAGCGTTGCGAGAAGCAAAACGAAGGCAGGTTGGGAGGGATAAGGTGAGAAAATGGAGAGGAGGGAGGGGGAAAGGGGGGATTTCATCAGACCGGCAGGGGCTTCTCGAAGAATTGCAGGTAGCCCTTGTTCATCGCGTCGAAGTCATCCATGGTCGTGATGAAGACGTTGACCTTGACGACGTTTTTGAGCGACGAGCCGCCCGCCTCCAGAATGTGCGACAGATTCGTCAGCGCTTGGATCTGCGATGCCGCCCGCCCGCGACTGTCAGCCTCAATCTATGTCCTGCGAAGACAAGCAATGCGGAGGGGATGCGAAGCACGCACCGTGCGATCGGTGATACTACCGGGGACCATGGCCTTCGTCTCGGGATTGATACCGATGTTGCCGGAACAGTAGATCATGCCTCCGTAGGATATCTGGGTTTCGTCATTCACCATGGCACAGAAACAAATGTCAGCATGACGAACAGCGAGCAGGGCAACCTACAGCTTGACTAAATGGGAATTTGCTCTGATCCATCTGTGGCGCTTTCGCAGTCACTACCTCCTGCTTCGACGACATGTTGGAGGCCATCAATCACGGGTGGTCTTAATTCGGCTTGAGAATCTGGCTAAGTAAAACTAAATTTGATTTCAAAGTGTGACCCAAGCTCGAGAGGTTATTTGTTGTAGTTTGAGTTGACATAGGGCGTGAATTCTGACATAAGCTGATTGCCGAGCTAACTTTAAGTTAACGTTACCTCAAGGTTACTCTTCTTCCTGCGCGGACCCTGTGTGCCATGGAGCTTCATGTGGCTATTAAGTCATCACACCGACATTGTATGCAGGCAGCACGGAAACAGAGCAGATAAATATCTCCATTCTGTCACAATAAAAGGACACTATGGGAGTATAGGAAGATTCGCAACGACAAAGTCTAAGATTCATAACGCTATGATAATATCCGTTAACTACAAATGTTCACCGCATAAATGCTTAGACCCAGCTTTTAATGTAGAATGAAATATGAATCTACATAAGTTCTCAAAGATGCCCGGGCCCACGGCGACAAATGCTGAAACCCTCCACTTCCCAACACTTCTTGCTCTAAGACACGCAGTAGCGCCGTCTACCACAGAAATCATTTGATTCCTCCTGCCAATGTTACGGAAGGTTTGGCAGATCCTCAGAGTGCAAATGCTGCTTAGGAGATAACAATGGATGAATTGAGAAGGTATTTTGTGAAAATTCCGTCAGGAGCCTAAGGCCTCAGCAACTGGTGTCCCCGGAGCTGTTATCGTGCGGCCTTCATCTATAGTCGTGCCACTGGTGCTATTTTCGACCGCTGCAACACTTAATTCACCAGTGGTTTCTGCACTTTGATGCGGCAGTAGCTCACCATCTCCGCTTGATTGACTATTTTCAAAGTCACCTAGATCTGCAGCGGCTTGAGAATCTTTCTGATTGAGCGAAGATGAAGCAAGTATCGGTTGAACATCGTGAAACTCCAGTAAGGGAGGTGGAGGAGGTGGTAGCAGCAGGCGCTTGGATGGAGTAGTCGACTCGGCAGCTGCCGTCGGTGCCGGAGAGCAGGTGGCATTTGATGCAGAGACGTCGAAAGCACTCATGGGATTGATGACCGGAGGAATCGTGCGCTGTGAATCGTCTGCCTTACTGTCAGGTCCACCGTTCAGACCGTAGCCACTGAGGCCAGAAAGTGCGTTGGTAGACGTCAAACGTTGTTGGTCAGTGGAAGGATGAGGAAAAGTCGGTCTCGTCATTGTGTCGTTGTGGACAGCACCAAGCGGATCCGGCATCGTTTTCGAATCAGCAAAAGCTGTTTGCCTATCTTGTGTATCCATGGAGCCAATTGCACGGTTTCCTGGAGGTACAAGCATATGCATGTTCCACGACTGACTTGAGTATCTGCCATGGAAGTCATGCGACTGTTGTCCCGGGCTAGCTCGGAGCCAATCTTGGGCCTGCAATGGCGTAACTGCAGCACCAGAGCCAGGAGATGCTAGAAAATGACTTATGTGAGCTGGAATAGCGGGAGTATACGCGTTTTCAAATCCAGAGAACTGGTTGTTGAAGTCATTGGCCACAGTGGCAAGATTATCGAGTCGAGTACTGGCGTGAGTGAGGTTGGGAACAATTGGGAATCCACCAAAGCCGTGAACTTGCCGCGACGCCGGATACGTACCGAAAGAATGAATACTCCCTGCAAAAGGTGAAAGATATGCGGGCGAATGAGCCATACCCTGGTGAGCTAGACCACTGCCCATGTGATGATTACCGTTAAGGTATCGCGGATGCACGTCGTTGTTGGAAGCAGTAATACGAAATTGCGCGTTTGGAGAAGATTGCAGAAAAGGTGATCGAGGAGGCAACGTCGGGGACTGTCCCAATGGTGCCATAAAGCTGTCGTCAAACTCAGTATCACGTGATAGAGCACCTGTTCTTTCAATAGATGGTATCACACGATGTGCGCTTGGTTCTGCGTCCTCGAGGTCAGCCTTGATGGTGGTGTGGACGCTTATGCCATCATTAGGTTCGTTTTCCTGATTGAACCTGCTTCTTTTGCTCATTTGGAATCGATTTTGAGCCCTTGGTTTGCTGCGAAAAGTGTTGATCGAGGCTGTGTCGTCGTCATAGTCCTGTCTCAGCACAGGAATTCTTCCTCGTCGAAAACCAAAGACTGCTCTATGAATTTCAAGTTCGTTTGCCTCATCGTCGTTCGTCGTAAATGACGGTGCTCTCGCGTACTGTTGGTGCAGAGCTCTTTTGGGTGGACTTTCTCGCATAGGTGAAGAAGATGCGATGCTGCTTGGCGAGGGATTGCCAGTGATAACTCGTGATTTGACAAGAATCCACGCCCCATCTTCATCGATTTTGTAGATGACCTCGAATGGAGCGTCTGCAGTGCGCGTGCTACTAAGCCATAACATCATGTATGACTCGTTACTCTTCTTTTGATTGCGCTGGGATCGTTGTACCGGAGGAGCAGCATCAAAACAGCTCATTCCAAACCAAATAGTGCCTTTGAGCATCATGTTGGGGAATTGCTGGCTTTCGCCATCGGCCACTACAGCCTGGCCATTCGAATCTCCATCCGCAGGAGTTGAATGCACATCATCGTCATCCTCTTCCGACTCTTCCACAGTTTCACTTGCCTGAGTAGGAGTTTCGCTATTTTCTCGGGTGTCGATGCGGATCATCTTTAGTCTCTTGTTGCAGATTTCTGCCGCTGCCCGTCGCTTCTTGCCTCCTGCCTCAGACGCTAGTCCATTGACCTGGCTTTCGTCAATGTCCACACCGCCGGTGATTCCCAAAGTTGGAACCGTATCTGTATGTAGAACTTGTGTTTGCCGCATTGCCCACTGAGTCGCTGCGCCACTTTGAAAAGGCTGAAAGTACGGCAAAAAACCGCCTGGTAGGCTGTGGTGGGCCAACGTGGGATAGTGGAGACCATTCAGCGGGCCTGGGTACGGAGGTAGCCGTGGGTCGACTGTTGACGCACTTGGGTTACCACTCATGGCCGAATTGCTCGAACGGCGCCTTCGCCCTTGAGCCGATCTAGCACCTTGACGCGTCCTGTCAGCCTAGCTCCCTGTCACGTCAACAATTTCCAGACGACTAACCTCCCCTTCCCCGCGGCTTGGCAGCCTTTGTCTCCTTTTGATTCATCCGCTCAGCAAGAAGGTCCTGAATGTTCCACTCCGCGTACCACTGGTCGTAATCCTCAATCAAGCGACGAGACTCCACGTCTATTTCCAGCCGAACACGAGCCTTGAAGATGTTCGACAAGTGCGTTTTGCTGGAAACGTGCGTGAGTAAATGACTGACATCGCTGAAGCGAGGTTTCTTCGGGCAGATGTCGCATTTCAGAGGTATCCTGTGAGAGGAGGCCATGACAAATGGAGAAGTTGGGGAAGTTGGCAATTTCTGCTTCGTTGTGCATTCAATTGTGCTGTGCTTCGTAGTTCCGTCAGTGGATAGAGTGCAATTAAACAAGCAGTTAAGTGAAGAAGTTACAGCATAGAGAGTGTAGGACAACGATCTTGCTTCACGTGGGTTGGTGGTGAGGGGAAAGTGAGGTTGGTAGATGGGTGAAAGACGACGGCGGGAAGAGAAATAAAGAGGAGGCCGCGAGGTTGTTTATCACGCTTGGAACACGTCTGGTCGCAACTGCTTTGCTCGACTGTAGAGCAGTATCGAATGGGCGCTTGGCAGCACTCGACGGCCAGACGCTCCTGCTGTCTTGCAAGGACGTTGTGTGCAAGGCGAGTCGATCTAGCCTGAGATAGGAATCGACGTCTGCTGCTGGCGAAGAGGAAGGAGCCCGTCGCCGACGCGGTGTCATGTGACGAACTCATGCCCAACACCGCGCAAGCGACGCGGTAACACCCACTGGCCGTGGGTACGACTACTCGGTAAGAGCTGGGCTGCCTGCTCGGCTCATCTGCCACAGAAAAGTCCGAGGCGTATTCAGAATGAAGGCGTTCCTGGGAAGACAGCAGGCCGACCTTTGCGTGCGGATGGCTTAAGATGCAGTCGTGAACTCAAAGCTGCTGCCGTGCCCAAACGCCTCAACGAAGGCTCAGGATGTCTGAACTTGGATTCTCTGGCATAAAACAGGCCACAAGCAGGCAAACAGTTGATCACTTACTCCAAATGTGATATACGACGCCACTTCGAAAACCTATACCTCCTCACGGGGTCAGTCAACGACTGTCAATCGGTTTTTTTTGAAGGCCGAGACATGGTACACAGAATATATACAGCATTCTGGATACCATGCCATCGCTAGTCGAATTTACCTCGTCCGACACAGTTTCTTTCAGCGAAGTGCTGTGCGATCGTGTCAACTGACAGTGTACGAAGTGATTGAAGGAAAAAAAAAAAACTAGAATGTATGTGAAACTGGGATTGTTACGAGAGATGGAGATTCGAAGAGAATCAAATCGTCGGACGGAAGTGATTTAAACTTTTGTGAATCTTAAGGCAGTGAAGTCGAGGGACTTCCTACTGTTGGCGGCGGCCAACAGCAGAGACGGCTTGAACGAGCGGCTACGGCCTGAGGTAGAGGTCTTCGGATTACCGCCGGTACCCGAAGTGTGTGCGAAGCCAGAGACTGAGTCGGTGGTGAGGCGAATCGGCGGAAGCTTAGCACGGGAAGGGGTAGACCAGCACACTACGTGGCTCGTTGAGTCAAGAGCAGATCGAAACGCTGGCACAAACATCGGTTAGGTCAACGCAAGTTAACGTTTACGAGCACGCTGTATGCTCGACGAAGACGTGACTGAAGGATGGAAATGCCACCGAAACAACCAATTTTGCATCTGGATCGGGAGGGTCAGCGCGCAAGTCTTCTAGCTGGCAGTCACACATCACAGAAAGCACGCTGAATTCCCAGTCTCGATAATCTTTCTCCAACATTTTCGCACCGGCTGTATGCGGAGATTCTCAGCTTCATAGTTGCCCATTGTGTCATTCGCGCCGAATGATGTTCGTGCGGGTTTCGGGGTTGTAGGCCTTTTGCATCAAGTCGTGAAAAAGGACGAGACTAAAATATGGTAGGTCTTCTTTGTAGGCCTCCTAGCAGTAACTTGACCTTGGCTGCCAATACTGAGTCGGAGGTGTCCCACCATGAAGGTGGAATGGACACAGAGTGACGGCATCATAGATGGCAGCAGAGAGTCAAGAACGACCGGATGGTAGGAACGGCGGCCGATGTAAATTTTCCGCGTATAACTCCAAGCTGACGGCGCCGAGGGGGCTCACTATGCGGTCGTAACGGTCATGATTCAGAAATGCGTAAGCTCTGTCGAAGCCAATATGAAGCAGCAAACCCCTCATCGACATTGACTTTGCGTCTAGTCAGCGCCCTTCCTTCCCAGCACCCGATCCGTGACCTTCTTCGGCATGCAATACACCGGATCTACCTCTTCCAGCCCCTCATACCCTAGGAGTGACAGTCCCGCCAGCCCAAAGACCGTGTGGAAAACATCCACCATGTCGCCCGGACGATCCGCGAAGCCTCCGTGCTCAGGGTCCTGGCAGCGCAGGATGAAGGCAACGAGTGCGTCGCGGTCGATCCAGTGCACCTTTCCCAGCATTGCCAGCGACGAAAGCACCCACCACGAGTAGCAAACATCTTCCTTCTTCTCTGGGCGTCCGTTCAAACCGCCCTTTCCGGGCCCAGACGCGATCTGTCGCTCAGAGAGCCACGCAGCAAGACGCTGGGTGCGGACCGTGTCGAGGCGGCCAGCAATGGAGAGTGCAGCTAGACACGTGAAGATCTGGCCAGAGTGTGTTTCGGCACCGGGGGAGGTGCCGTATCCACCGTCGGCGTTGAGGCACGACTGGATGTACTGGACAGCCAAAGGTACGTCCACGAGGTGCAATAGGCCGAGCAGGGAAAGCGCATTCAGAGCACCGTACAGGAAGCGCGTGTCTGGCTCGCCATAGCGGTCCCCGTGAAAAGTGCCCGTCGCGTCCTGGAGCGAGGCAATGACTGCGATGGTATTAGTGGTCAGGAGCCTGCACGAAGCGTCGCCGAATATCACGAAATGAACACGATGATGGTAGCGGTGCGCAACGGCGGAACAAAAGAGAAAAGAAATAACAAAAATAAAAAAGCCAAAAAAGTCCTTTGTTGTCCCGGCTACCACACGTCAAATCCTTTTTGACCAGTATCTTGTGATGGCCCTGGCTCTTGGAATATCGACAGGATTCCGAACATGCTGTTCGGTTGGGACCAGCACAGCACAAAAAAAAAAAATAATAGCATACATCATACGAAGAAGGATTGTGTTCGCAGGATGATAGCAGACGCCTCCACAGTACACGGATCTGCCTGAATCGAATCGATCGAACAGGGACAATCGCCGAGGGCGATGGAGAAAGGGCATGTCGCAGGAGGAAAGGATTCGATGAAGATCACGATGGAAGGGGATCATATACTCACACCGACCAATCTTCTCCTTCGCCCCGCTCACTCTCTGTTCTAGGTCGGCGAACGCATCCAGCGTTGCAAGAATCTGCACCGCGCTCACGGTGTACAACATGTGCGCGTCGTGACCGGGCGCAGCTCCAAAGCCGCCCTCATCGTGCATGCAGCTGATGACAAAGTCGAGCACTTCGTCGCGAGGAAGAGCGTCAGGCCGTCCTAGCAGATGAAGAGCCGTAAGGCCCCAGTACAGGCCGTTCAGACGCAGGTGTTCCGTCAGCCAGTACTCATACTCGTCGCGGCGGGTGTCCAGAGCCTGGATGTAGGACACGTGCTGGTCGACGTACAGGCGCAGTTCGTCTGGAAGGTGGGCGGAAGGGGTTCCTCCTCCACGGCCGGGACCGGATACAAGCGCCATTGCTTGGGGACGCAGGAGTTCCTCGCGATCCTAATGCGGAATGCCTGTGCTCGTGCGGGGGGCTAAAGCCGTCGAGAGTGTGCGGACGGTGTTTATCTGGGAGTGATGGACACGAGACGACGGGATGTCACGAGTCACGCACTTTGAAGCTCGGCGATCGCGGCTGGTACAGGATCGGAGATTCGAAGCAGCAGGGCGGGAACAAAAAAAGGGTGCCTGGTCGCTGCATTCCCAATTCAGCGCGTGGGATGCGGAGAATACTTGCAATCCTCAAGCGCCTAGAACGCACGCACAAGCGCCACGTTGACTCAGTGGCTGCCCTTGCCGAGCGAGATAATAACAACAGCCTACAAGTCCTCTGCAGCAGGAGCAGCAGAGCGCAACGAGGCCTGTCCGTCGAGCACGAAACGGCCTTATTTTTAAATGTCTTGCCTCTGCTCGTACGAAACGGAAGACGGCTGTGTCGGTCACGCGAGTGAGAGGCGTGTTTGGATTGATGACGAGTCACTGAGCCGGCCTCTAGGCATGTAACCAAGACGAAATGCGCAAAACCAAGTACAAGCAAGCGAGCGAGTGCGTGCTGGAGCGGAGACGACGGGATTCAGACCCGGGCTCAGCAGCAGTGCTCGGAAGAGCAGCAGGCAGCAAGCCGGTCTTCAACGCGAATGTCGAGCGTCAGATGTCATGCGGTTTCGAGGGGCAGGCCTAATAAGGTACCACTGCTTGTGCGGAGGTGAGTTGGCACCCGGCGAAGGAGTAGTCATGCGACGCCTTGGAAATGGGCGGCAGCGTGCTTGAACAGCAGTGTACTTGCACGGTAGCGGTTTGGTGTCCTGCAGCGCGGCTAGCCAGGAACAGCTCAAAGAAAGGGGGCCTAGGCCAGAAACGTCTGGTGTGTCTGGCGCAATTGGACCCGTGAGGAGTGGGACGGTGCAAATGGTTGACGCCTGGTGGGTGTATGGCGTTAAGGTACGGGGCACACGAATGGGCTTGGTGGCTTGGACTAGGCGCATGGGCCAGGAGTTGCTTGGAGCAATCGCACGCTCGGAGAGGGGAAGAGAAGGACGGACGAGAGACAATAGTCGACGGAGAGGGTGTGGATGCGGAAAGATAAGAGTGAGGAGAGAGGGAAAGAGAGGATGTGTGTGTGTTTGTGTGTGTGTCCAGCGGCCGCGCTTAGCAATTGTCACCAGTCGACGCGAAGGCGAAGAGATGCCATGCCCCGTCTCCCACCGCTGCGCTCCCGTGGTTTCTGGTGGTTCTTCTCTGATGTGAAGGGAAAAGTCGTCCTGGAAGAGAGACAAAGCTTCTTCTTCAGCTGCTACAGAACTACGGACGTAGTATCGCTGAGCTTCATCCACGGCGCTTACGTTGATTGAGCCTCGCCCTGCCGCCATTGCCATCATCATCATCATCATCGTCGCAAACACTTTCTTCCTTCCCCCCCCTTCTCCCTCTCTCTCTCTCTCTCTCTCTACTCTTTCTCTCTCCTCTCCACACACCCTGTCCTCGCCTCACCTGCTATCCTTCTCCCTCCCCTCGCCAACCGAACCCATTGCTCCTTCGACATTCAACGTCGTCGACACGCCCTTCGCTCGGCTCTGCGTAGCTCTGTCTTTTCCCGACAAGCTCAAGCTCACCGCCCTCGGGTCGACGCTCGAGAACGACTTCCCGCGCGCCCAGTCTCAGATCCGCAATCGCAGGCATACAACGCAGGCATACAACATCATACCACCTGCATCCTTTCCACACACGCCGTCGTCAGCCGAGCCAACGCTCAGCCCTCTCCACCCAGGTCAGCGGGGGTGCTGCTCGTGTGTGGACGTGTGTGCTGTCCTGAAACAAGACATCTCCAGAGTATCTCGCTTCCTTGTCGATCCTGTCCACGCGGCACTGGAGAAAGCTGCCCTTGCGCAGACCCAATTCGCCTGCTTGCCCCTACACTTACCCACCGCCCACTGCGTCACCCTGCCTGTTCGTGGGCAGCCCAAGACCAGGATCGTTCGAGTGTCTCCGGCCGCCAGTATCGCCGCACGCACGCACGCACGCACGCACACACACACACGCACACGCATTCGTTGCTTGCGCGCGTCCACCCGCTGTCGTCAGAGCCCTCCCAATTACTGACCGCCAGTCGCCTCGCTCACCACGCTAGCCGGGCCTGCCGGGTCCTTCGTCTGTTTGTCTGGGAGCCTCAGCGTGCACAGCGCAGCGTACCCGCTCTCGACGCCCTCACGATCCACCCCTCCCGCCCGCTTTCCTCCCCCCCTTCCCCCCCTCCCTCAGCACCTAAGAAAAAAAAAGAAGACGACCACACCACGCTCACTTTCTAGCACCGTTCATCGCTCGCCCCGCTGCTGCGTTGCTCCAATTATTCTTCCATTGCTTCGTGCTCCGTGCCATTCTGCGCCATTCTGCGCCTTGCGGTCTTTGACTCGGAGACCTTTCAGCCCTTCTCAGCCCTTCGTTGTACACGAGCTCCCGATTCGCCCCTGTTGCAAGCAGGAACCCAGAACCCCCCCTTGGCACCAAGCATCTGTCATCGCACGGCAAAGGGAGAAACGCTCCATTCTCTGTAACCCGTTCCTTTTGGATTGTCTGCCGTTAGCCAGCGCCGGTGACGAGGACCGCGTCTGACCCGCAAACCCGCTCCGATCGTTTTCCACTTGGTAAGAAAATAACCTTCTCCCCTCCCTCCCCTCCGCTTGCCTAGTCCGCTCATTCTGAAGTGTGATTGTGGGTGTATGTGCTACCCACTGCACACGCATACATGCGCATGCCCGTCTCCTTGCACGCTCATTCTATAAACACATTCACCTACATGCCAATCCCTTGAATGCCCTTTTGTTTGCACTGGCCCATCCGGTGCATGCCTGCGGTTGTGGCGTACCCGTGACAATGCTGACCATTGTGTTCCCGCAGCCTGGCATCCAGCACCCGCCCAAACCAAAGCGAACCAACTCTTTGAGACGACTCGAGCAAAAGATTCGCCCGCATGTGCAGAGAGTGCCCTCTATAGCCGCACTCGGCCACCTGAACAGCACGAGGACAGCTCCGTCCTCGAAGACTCGCCAGGTCTCGTCAGCCCCTCCGCGTCCTTCGTCCGACGCACCGAGCGAGGTAATACAGCATCTCACTTCGTCATAAACACTGCCCTGAGCCGCAAGCCGAAAGGGCGCGATACACCGGTCCCTGCCTTGGATCGCCCGCAAATTTGCGGCATCCAGCTGCTGGATGGGCAGACGGGCATATGCGGTTGTATCCGCCGTCTCGGTCTTGGTCGATTTCTGAGAAACAGACGTACCTGAAGAAGCTAAAAAAAAGCCCCGCTCATAAATAAAAATAATTTTAAAAAAAAAAAAAAGGCACGAGCCTGTGCAGGTACGGAACTGTGCTAATTCTGATACCCTTCTAGATCGGACGACACCACTCGCTTCTCCGGAAGCGCACCGCTCGCAAGATGCCTAAAGCAAACAGCCTGTCCATCGATGTTCCTGGCGTTGCATCGCTGCAGCACTCAGATGCGGGTGCCAGATCTGGCCTAGCCAGCCCACGGACGCCGCACACGCCCCGTTCTCCGTCCACCAACAACAATGGCACCACCGAAAACAGTACTGCTCAGTACGGCGAGGGCTATGAAAACCACGCTCACTCGCCGATAAACGCCCTGCCCCGTCCGCCCTCTCCACGCTCGCCCAAGTCCGCCTCCAAGGCTGCGAAGCTGTTCGGCAACAAGCTGGCGTCAAAGTCGGCCACCAAACTGAACAAGTCGAGCAACAACCACGCGGACCTGTCACCGCAACAGCCACCAATTGGAAACAAGGGCTCGGGCAATAATACATCGCAGGTGCACCTGGGTTCGAGCAATTCGAACGTCGCTGCGACGAGCACGAACCAGTCCTCTACCGACGTTTCAGTTTCACATCCCCATTCGGGCCAATCAAGCCCTGACGCTGGTCAGTACCAAACACTTTCCTTGCACCCGTCCTCATTCCGCGTATTTTTCCACCCGTTCAGATGCCAACCGAATCACACGACAGTTGAATTCAGTCCTGATCAGCACTCGTCCTCCACGACCGCGAACAACAACGCCAACACCGACGCAACAGGCTCCCAGTCAGCGAAGCAGAACGAGAAAGGGGGTGCCAAGAGCAAGGCCCAGCACAAGTTCGGCAGCTTCCTGAGCCGCAAGACGTCGTTGCGCGGGGACGATCAACTGCCTCCACCACCGCCTACCGCGCCGCTAACCCACAGCACCACCCTCACACCTACCTCCGCGACGTCGCCCGGCCGGGAGAAACCGAAGCTGGGACCTATCAAAGCACCCACGCAGCCGATCGATGTGCCCCTGCGCACGGCGCCTGTAGAGAAGGAGCGTGGTTTCCGAACAGCCATGAGCTCCGCCCTGCGAAACCGGTCCCTGGACCGCGCCGACGACGACCGCACCGCGGGCTCGTCTCAACAACCACACCACACCCACAAACCCTCGTTGCTCGGGCCCGGCGGTCTTCAGGGCGCTAGCAGCACGAATCATAAGGACCTGCATGGATCCGTCATGTCGAATCTGAGATCCGGTAGCACGAAAGCGGCAGAGGGAATCAACAAGGCGCGGAAAGGCCTTTTTGGCAACTTGAGGTTGAACCGCAGTGGGAGTAGCCATGAGAGGGAGCCCATCCGGAACGAGCCGTATGAATTGAAGGTGCTGGTGCTGCCACTGGAGGAGCAGGCGAGGATTACAAGAATAGCGAAGAGGTTGCATTACTGCAAAGGTACGCTCCTTTTTATTTTTATTTTTTCCCCCCCTTTTCTTTCTTCTTTCCTTTTTCCACCCTTCAGTTTCTCACTCAAGCCCTTGTGAGGGTGAAATTTTTGGCGAGGAGGTCTTAACTTACTTGTGCACATTTGCTGACTTGGGCGCGGAAAATAGATAAAACGGAGTTCTGGTTGCCGGCGTTTCCCTATCGATGCATAGACTACCTTTCCGACAGGGGCACGTATAGCGAGGGTCTTTACCGTGTGCCTGGCAGCGAGCTGGAGATCAAGCATTATATGGCTCGTTTCGACAAAGGTACGGTCTCCGCTTCCATGTTCTCCTGCTTCCACTGGGCGACGCTAACCATGGGCTCAGAGTACGACATCGATCTCTTCGAACAGAAAGACCTGCACGATGTCAACGTCGTGGCGACCATGCTCAAACGATGGCTATCTAACCTGCCACCGGTCTTTCCGCAAGACGTGCAGTCCGACATCATTCGCACCTGCTCCGAATCGCATCCGGCTGTGCAGGGCGGCTCGACCCCGGACTACATGAAGCAAAAACTGTCTGAATTGCCTCCATGGAACTACTATCTCTTGTTCGCCATCACTGGCCACATCTCCTTCTTGCACAATCACAGGGACCAGAACAAAATGACGTACGAGAACCTGTTCCGATGCTTCGCCACGCGTGCGCTTCAGGTTGAGCCGTACATCTTCTGGTGGCTCGTGTGGGACTGGAGGAACTGCTGGCTCGGTTGCGCGAGGGAGGACGAGTACAAGGCGAAGGAATACACAATCTTGGACCAGATGGCCGAGGAAGAGCGCGAGAGAAACGCGCAGCAACAAGCAGCCGCTGAGGCGAGGGCGCCGCCACAGTCGAAGAAGGAGAAGGACGAACGCCAGCCGGAGCAGAGCGCAAAGCAGAGGAAGGCGAGCAAGCATTCTGTCAGCGCAATCTCCAAGCAGACCGTGCTGAGCACGAAGGAGGCTACGATCAAGCAGGTCAAGAGCGAGCATCGACCGCGGACGGCACACGCACACTCTCCATCCACCGCTTCTCATGCGCGCTCGCGATCACGTGAGAAGAAGAGTGCTTTGACCGACCGTCAGCAACGTGAGCAGGAGCGTGAGCAAAGGGAGAAGGATCGTGCGCTCAGCAGCAGCGACTCAAGCAAGCCTTCGATCGCGGAACAGAGTCCCGCCTATCGAAGCGGCAGTCCGGGTAACGGCGTTAGCGAGGAGCGAGATGAGCAGCGGGAGACGACGAACGGAAATGACGGGCCAATCAAGACCCAGGACATAGGACTGCCCATGCTGAGCCCGCTGAAGCCCCTCAGTCCGTTGGGCTTGCACTAGGATGTTCGTATGTCCAAGAGCGAGGGACTTATTTTTCGACGTAGAAAGCATTTGGTCCGGCAAAAAGGTATTTGGTGCGTAAAAAGGCAATATGCATGCGGTCCAACATTCACGGTTTGTGGCTATGCACAAACAAAACGCACACGCATACACATAAACACACACCCTCATGCATGCATACATCACAAGAGCCCACATCCCTCGGCATATGTTTACACTGCAGAGCTCTGAGAGCCCCCCCCCCCCCGCAAGTATCCATACAGCCCCATTCGGGGAGCCATATTTGCGCAAAACGTCAATCTGCAACGATTATGGATCCGCGACCCATAGAGCGATTTTGAACGGCTGATCCGGCTCGAGGAGGTTAGACAGATTTGAGAAACGAAAAGGCTGTCCGCAGCCCTTGCGTGCAGCCTTGCGAGATTCTGGCTATATTTTTGGTGTCTCTTTTGTAGGGGAAATATTTCATCACCCGGCCTTTCCCTCGTGGGGGAGTGAAGGTTATTGATCCTGTGGTCGGAGGGGAAGACCGGCGGATGTACGCACGCTTGTTTCCATTAGATACCCACGCAGTCTGTGAGTTTGCACTTTATCGCTTTGTGGTTTTTTAGCATTTGAAATTCAAGAATAGCGTTTGAAGAGAAATGAGAGAGCGAGAGAGATCACGGACGTTGGGTTATTGAGTTCCTTTTTCTTTGGCGGCTTGCTGCGAAGGGCATCCACAAAAAAAAAAGAAAGAAAGAAATTAATTGTGATTTGCTCCGTGCAAATTGGCGTACAAACCCCCTTCCAAAAAAAAGGGGTCCCCTTTCCGAACTTTTTGTCTTACTTGGCGGCCTCAAAAACGTCGCGCCACTGGGTCCGTGCACCGAGCCGTGGGGGGGGGGGTGGGTGCGGGATCGTCAGGCCCCAGGAGCGGCGAAGGTTTGGATAAAATGCGTAGAAACGCGCGAGAGGCGCTGTCGAACGCGGGCAAAGAGGGGAAGGACGGGGAGGGCCACAGCCAGAGCCAGAGCCAGAGCCAGAGCTAGCCAGATGGCCCCCGGCGTACGATACCATGGCGACTTTGGAGGGGGTTCTTTTTTTTTTCCTTTTTTTTTTCTTTCCGGTGCGGCCTTTCTTCGTCGCGCGGTGTTTGAGCGAGTGCGTGCGTGCGTTCCCTTGCGAAAATCCTCTTTTTTTTTTTTTTTGTGTGTGTGTGTGTGTGTGTGTGTGTGTGTGTGTTATATAGACCTATATGTATATGTATACTCGGATCTTGGGGCGGCTGTGCCGCGCGGCTGGGGCACGCTATCTGTCTTGTCAAAACCATTTCTCTTCGATATCGCACGAGACGCCCGTCCGTGAACGGCCTCTTCTTTCTATTCTTTTTTCCCCGGCTTGGAGTCCCATGGACGTTTTTTCTTTCTTTTTCTTGTTTGCGAGGCTCTTCATCGACTGCTTATATGCCCGTATGAAATGCTCCCCCTTACCGTTCGGCATGCAGTTTTTCTTTTTTTTTTCTCTCTCTTTTTTTTCCCCGTGTTTCGTCTCTGTTTTTCCAAGTCGGATTCCCTAGCCTTGAGCCTGATTTTTTTTTTTTTTTTCGTGTGAGGCGTGTCTTTTTAGACAGCCTGGTTGACCTCTTCACAAGGGGCTTAAGCGCGGACGTGGATCTACCAGGACGGTGCGTGTGTGTACTGTGTGGAGCAAAGCCGGTCGGGCTCTTCCGTGGTGGCAGCAAAGATGTCGCGCGTGATAGCGGAGCGGACCGGCCACGCAAGGAGGAGCGCTTTTTTTTTGGGGAAGATCTTTAGGAGATTTTTTTCGTCTTTGGTTTTCGGGGTGGGTTCGCCCGCGGTGTCGGTCTGCCGCGAGACGGCATTCGCCGTGCCGCCAAGCTATGAGAAGCTCACGTCTTGTCCCTGCACCCGAACCGATTGAGACGGTCGTTCATCCGACCTTTGCGGCGAGACTTAGGGCTCGAAGCTTCACGAGGGAACGTCGTGCTGAAACGGGAGACAGAGTTGGCACGGGCAGATTTTCTCGTCATTCGTCGTCGACCGTTCTTGTTGCTTTTGTCTTTGCTTTGACTAAGGCTCGAAGAAGAAAAATAAATAATTCAACTCTCCATCCCAGATGAACAGCACTCCGAAAAAAAAAGAAATAAATAAAGAAATAAAGAAATAAAGCGTGCTTATGCTTTATCGTTGCCCTTCGTTACGCTTTGAATGTGCCCGCGCGCCTGAAGTCGCTCGTTTCCTGCTTACGGGTGCGAGCCTGCTGGTCTCCATATTCGACCCGCAAGCGGCTGCTGCCTCGACTCGAGCGCTCTACTCCTACCCCGCCTTTTTTTTCCAAACGGCATGAGTATAATAGCAAGGCTTATTTCCTGGACCCAAAACGTCATTTGAGAAACTTGATTGGTTCTCCGGCAGGTCCTGTGGCATACCAGGGCGAACCAATTGGGAGAGAGTGATACATGCTGTTGGCCGAATAGGGAAAGACGAAGACGACGGAACCCCCCGCATGTTGTTAGGCTGCGAGATGATGGAGTACCAGGGGGTGGAGATATGCCTTTTCTTTTGACCGATGGATAAGAAGGATCGAGATCCGTTTTCCTCTTTTCATGTACACCTGGGGATCTTTTCGGAACGTCAAAGGTGATCAAGCGCGGAGGGAAACTTGGGGAGCCAGGTCACCATCAGGAGGCTGAATCGTTCACCCTGCTCGTGTCGTCCGGCGGGTTGCAAACCGAGTCTGGAAAAAGCTCTGGCTCGCCCCGTCGAGCTCGCCACGCGTTCGTCGCCCTGAGCAGCTCGTGGCACGATTGCACGACCCAGAACCACTTGCGGGCGAAGCCCTCAGAGACCTCCCAGCAGGCCGGCTCCCAGGACTGGCCCCAGACGAGCAGGCCATACCGGCCGTCTTCGGTGTCGTCGAGGATGTCGAAGCGCAGCGGCTCGTCGTCGAAGTCGGCGCCGCGGCGCAGGATGCTGTCCCTCATCGCCGGCGCGGGCAGCAGGTCAATCCAGGCATGGTGCTTCACGGTCCGCTGCAGCTGCGTGGGCCGCAGCGGGCTCGGGTAGTTCTCCGGCGCCAAGCGAGGGTCGTCGGCCGGGCTGGTGAAGAAGGGCGACACCGCGTCGATCTCTTCCCACGTCTCGCCAAACCCCAGCGCGTCGCTGTTGCTCTGGAACGCGAGGTAGACGTTGAACTTGATCACGGAGGCGAGCATGCTCATCGGCGTCAGGTGCAGCTCGTCGCGGCTCTGCCGGCGATGCTGGATCATCGCCCTCTCCTGCGCGGCCTTTTCTTCCTCCGCGATGCTCGCCTCCGAGGCCGCCTTCGTTACCCGACTCTGCCTGCGCTCTTCAGCCTTGCGGCGCCCTTGATCTGGTAAGCATCCGACGGCCATTGCTTTTCTTCTCCGAATGGAGGGGAATAAAAGGGGGGTGGGGGGGGGGGGGGCTGCCAGGGGAACCGACAAACACTCACGCCAAGCTCGCTGATGGAGACGGTTCTGCAACTTTCTCCTCTTGACTGGATCCTTCACGCCCGTCCAGTCCTCTTCCGGATCGCGAGCGTCGTGCAGCGGACTCGGCTTCGAAAGCTCCACGGGCCGGTCGTGAGACGCCATGGGGAAGCGCTCGAGTCAACCGACGCCCAAAACACGCGCTCGCAGTATCGTTTCGGCCGGTACACCGCACGCCCTTGCCGCGGGATGCAAAATGGGCTGGTGGCCGCGTGATGCGATAAGCATCAGCTGGGTGTGCGACTTTCTTTCCTGCGACTCGCAGAACGACAGGGACGCTGGGTCGCCCTGGCCCTGATGACTCGGCGACTCTGTGGGTGTTGCGGTCGCAGTTCCGTTCGGTCCAGTGCTCGTTTCCAACTGAAGCCTTTATCCTGATGGGAGGCGAAAATGCCAACCTGAAAACCGGCGGGACTTTGGCATTGAGGGGGCAAACCACGAATCACGCTCGAGTAATTCGAGGAACCATTTCCGAGCCAAACGGACCTATCATATGAAGTCCCAGAAGCCTTCCAGTGACGAGCGAGCCAATTTTTGGAGCCTTCTCAGATGAGCGCTCTGCTTCAGATTATGTCTTTGTATTTGCACAATTACAAGCCGCAGCTTTTATTCAGGAGCGGTGATGCCATGATCGCTGGCTGGAATCAGCCAAATATATGAAGAAGACACTAGTCTGTTCCCCACGTACGCAAATCCAGTCTAAAACTCGACCGACTCTCTAAATCTTTTGCTACCCGTCATCTGCAAGGCCGTCAAGAGGGAATGATATCTCTATGTACACGAAGAACCCCGTAACAGAACACCGCGCCATCCTTGCGCACTGTCGTAGCTCCGTGGTGGGCGGCGTCTAAGCCATTGCAGGCTCAATCTTCTTGCCCTTGACGCTCTTCCATTGCACGAATGCACAGCCCAGGCCGCTGAGGCAGGCCAACGCCACCGCAGCGTACCAGGTTCTCGTAAGCGCGTCGTTGTACGCTTGCAGGACGCCCGATAGCGACGCGGGCGGCACGCGGTTCTTGATCTCCGTCGCGCCGACGGACAGCACGAACCCTGCATCCAAGTTGGGAACGTAGTGCTTGATGCCCTTGACCAGCTCGTTCGTGAACACGTTCTGGCCGACAGACACGAAGAGCGCGCCTCCGAGCGTCTGCGAGAACATCATGATGGATGTTCCAATGGCAATATCTGCCTTGGGAAGGACCGTCTGTGCCGCAATCATGGTCTGCTGCATGCCTAGGCCGACGCCTGTGCCAAAGATGAACTGATAACCAATCCATTTGGAGTGGCCAGTGTTGACCTTGAAGGTGGTGATCAAGCCGGCGCCAACGGCCATGAAGACGGTCGAGGCATACATGAACGGCGTGTAGTAGCCGAGAGCTGTAGTCAGACCGCCGGCAAGGATGCTAAGCACGACGACACCTAGGATCAGGGGTAGATTCATGATACCAGACTTTACGGCAGATACGCCCTTGATAGCCTGAAACCTGGAAGACGGGTTAGAATCGAAAGGTCGTTGCGCACGTGATTGCGGTGACCTGCTTACCAGATGGGAAGATAGTAGACGAGGATGAAGAAAGCACCGCCAACCATGGCAGCGAAGATGGCGCCGCCCCACACGTTCTGATTCTTGAAGATTCGAGGAGGAACCGTTGCCCTCTCCTGCTTCCAAATCTGTATCGCTACAAAACATGTCGCCAGCACGGCGAAGAGGACAAGCAGAACGATGATGCGGGCGTTGCCCCAGGCGTACTTGCTTCCACCCCACTGCAACGCCAACAGGAGACAGATGACGCCGGCCATGAAAGTAACGGTGCCGAGGGGATCCATCTGTGCGACCTGGCCGCGCCATGTGGTGGCTGTATCTTTTGCCCGCTTAGGTGAGCTGAAGAAGATGATGATGAAGATCGCCGTCACGGCACCAAAAGGAAGATCTTTTCAACCATTGTTAGCCAAAAAAAAAAAAATAGACTTCATTGTCGTTGACGCCACTACGTACTGATGTAAAAGCACCAGCGCCAAGTCAATCGGTCGGTGAAGGCACCACCCATGAGCGGGCCGGCAACAGACGCGATGCCGTACATGCCACCGACCAGGCCCATGTATGTCGGGCGCTGGCGAAGAGGCACGGTGTAAGCAACGATCAGAAGGGCTCCAGAAAAGATGCCAGCGGCACCCAGGCCGGCAATGGCACGACCGATGATCAGAGCCGTGGAATTGGGCGCGATACCGCATATCAAGGATCCGAGCTCGAAGATGAACAGCGCCGACAGATACGTCCACTTGACACTGTAGAAGGTGTAGAGTTTGCCGAAGAACAGCTGGAATGCGCATGTGCAGAGCAAGTACGCGGACGCATACCAGCCCACGTCGTTGAGCGCCTTGAACTGATCCGTGATGCGCGGAATGGCCACAGCAATGATGGTGTTATCCTAGTTTCATGCAACCGTTAGCCCCATGACACTGACGCACAGGAAAGAGGAACTTTTGATTTTTCTTTTTTTAAAAAAGGTTGTGACCGTGTTGACGAGGCACAAAGGCCGATCAACAGGTGTCACAGCCTCGTGCTCCCGGCATGTTCCATGAACTCGCGTGGAGCCACGCCAAAACGTACCAAAGCCATGCAGAAAACGGAGAGACATAGCGCGATCGTGATGAGTGCGAGTCTCCATTTCTGGGGGTACTCCGTGTCGTCCTCCTCTTCGCTGGAGTCTCCCGTTTCTTTCTTTTGCGCTTCTATCTTCTCGCTGATTTCCTTGTCGTCGTCGCCGCCAGTGCGGACGCCACCGTCGCGATCGGCAACCTGCGACGATTGTCGCGACTCAGTGTGCGCGACCGCCGTCTCTTTCACCTCTGCACTCTCAGCAGGATGGCCCGCAGGCCGATCTCCCTTCTCCATTACTGAAGGAACACCGCTCGGCGCCAGAGTAGACTCGGCGGAACCGTGAAGCGAGGACTTGCTCGACGGCCTCAGCGAGGCTTCTGGAGTACCCATTGAGTCTTACAACAGGTGTCAAGTATGTCGAGGGTGAAATACTCAGGAGAACGGGTAAACTATATCTCTACGGAAAGACCCGACGTGCTCGTATCTCCGAACGAAGTGAAAAGAAAAATTGGTCGACACGTGGATACGTTCGCTCCTACGCAAACGCAAGAACCGACAGAACACGGTGTGCGATTAAAAAAAAAGGGTAGGACCAAGCAGGTATTCAACAGAAGGGAAATAAAGTTAAAGGATTGGCAAGGCAAGAGACGTGAGAAGAGAAGAATGGGACGAAGGACAATGTAAACGCTCCCAACTCAAGGCAGCAACTTCATCCCTTTAGATTCACATCAACGCAGATACGGTGGGACTTTTGATCCGCTCGATTTTCCAGATTGCGACCACGATGCAAGCAATCGGCGCCGAAGCAACGCTTGGCTCCTTTTACGAGGTTACGAAGTTCCTGGGCAACGAGCAGCGCGTGGCCAATGAAACACGCACAATTCTCAACCACTGCGGGAGACAGTGGGTCTGGCGGCGGATTTGCCTGAGATTCTGGACGGAGGCTTTCGCTTAGGGGACTTTCTAGCTTCTTCGAGACACAAGCACGGAGTTCTCTGCGGAGGGAGCGTCGTTTTGAGGCTCGAAATGATGGATCTCAAGATGAGACCCGACAGCGTGGGAATGAGAGCCACCCGCTTGACAAACCGACTGGCCACGCCGTTCCTGATCTTTCGGTTGCTGCTTCACTGTTGTCTGTTGTCAGCGCTGCTCCAAGGCAAAGCATAAGCAAGCTACCATCTGCAAAGCGGCACGTATCCGTCATGCGGTATCATTGCCTTTTTTTTTTCACACGATTTCACCCGTGGTGCGAAAGACATGCATGATCGTGTCATCATCGTCATATCTGAGCCTCGTGTTCTCGCATCCAAGTGCGTTAAAGTTAGCCCGACTGCAGGTTCAACATTGGTCCGGCTCCGAACTCCTGACTGGGCACTAGAAGTCATGACCCCCGTGTGCACGGGCCTAGGTATGCACGCGCCATCCACCACCAGCACCCAGGCACTATATTAATTAATACCATATGCAATAATGGTTCAATCAATATAAAATTATATATAGTATTATAAGTGATTTATATGAGCCTATTGACTAAGTTTCATAATCTTTAAGCCATTGTGGCGGTTTGCGCAAACGTTTTGACTGCCCATCTGCCACCTTCGAAGAATCACCCTTAGTACCATCCACCACC